GTGACAAGTAGCGAGGATCCAATCGTTATTGATGATTCTGATGATGAGGAAGAACAAGTAAAAGTCAACAACCCTACTACATCAAAGAATACAGCAGTCAATGGTGTTCATTAACAGTAAATTAAAAGTATTTTGTAAAAGAGTGTCCCATCAATTTTTTTTTTCTTGGATGAAGATTGGCACAAGAAGTACATGTGTAATGCTCAATTTTGTTGTATAATTTTTTTTTTGTATATATTTATCTTCTGTTATTTATCTAGTGTATTATAAATCAATTTTCATAACTGATTTATATATTTTTTTTAGAATTTTTCTCTTCTGTCTTCTTAAGCTGCATTTACATCGGATCTGAACCACACTTTAGACCGCATTTCCAAAGCGCTAAATGCCAGCGTCCCTATTCCTATACACAGCTTCAATTATGTTTGATCAGTCCTGATCTGAAAATTTGGATTCGGTGTGAATGCACCTGAAAATGAACAGTCCTGCATATTTAGTTAGGAAATCTTGTCTGCATTTTTTTCTGTTGATGATCCCAAGCTCCACCCATCATAACAGACATTATTTCGGATTCCAGCCAACTCGTGCCCCCTTACAGACCCACCACCCCCATTTGACAAACTCGCCCCTAACAATTGTTAAGGGGGAAGTTTGTCACTGAGCGAGTTTGTTAAAGGGTGAGTTTATAGGGGAAAGTTTGTTAAGGGGCGAGCTTGTCAAGGGGGGGAGATCGCTAGGGATGAGTTTTCTGGGGGTGGGGGCGCAAATTAACTTTCTCATGATTTCTGATTTGTGTCAATTTAAAATATGGTTGTATTGTCAGTACAAATATAGTTATATTTACGTATCATTTTTTTCAGTAAAAAAATATATATACTGTAAAAACTTGCTACTGACTGATATTCATAACGTGTTTGTCACCTGCTCTTTAAAACTTACTGACCTATGGTATTATTAACCTTGCTCTTTTTATAGATATATATATATATATATATATATATACTTGTACAAAATTTCATTAATAATTTTTGAAAATAAAATGAATGCAGCATGCAGTATACTAAAAGCAGATAAAAATACTCCACATGAGAGTATCCTGTGTTTGGTGGAATTTAGTACATGTATGTTGTGAATGTTTAAACTCGCATACTAAAGGGGGAGGGAATGTCATTCATGTATGCATCATTTTCAAGAGAATGTTTTCTGTGTCGCATTTCTTCCTCCCATTAGAGTGCATAATGAAAATATTTTTGTAATTTTTAAAATTTTCATAAAAAAGGGTACCCCCACGCCCTAGCGTATGTTTTTTTAAAACTCTTTGTGAAAAATGATGAATAATTGGATGACCCCTGTAGTTAAATATGTTTAGTCTATTTATGTGTGTATATGCTTGGTTCCTGTACACATGTGCACATTATCATATATTGGTATGTGACATTCCACCACATGAGTCACATTGCACCTCCTGAAATGAGATAAGACTAGTGAAAATATTTTTGAACAAAAATTTGTGCAAAAAGTTTTTCATTTAGTAGTTTAATATCAGATATGTATAGTGACTTAACACGTTGACTGCCAAGGTTTTTAACTAGTTGCCCACATGCTAAAGCATAGAGGGCACCACCATAATGAACATCATTCCAATCAACTGTGTAATGAAACGCAAACAAATCTTTGGTTCAGGTTCTTCTCTGAACTTCCAGCACTGCCACCGAGTTTACGTGCAATATAATAATGGTATGTTTGGAGAGGTGTGGACGTGAACTCGTCTTGGTGCCCTGAATGAACCGTCAGACACAAGTTCTGAATGGTAAAGGCATACAAGTATCCCTCTAAAGACCATTTCCAATTAAAACCACTTTTTTGTTTTCCCAAACTAAAATGTGTCTTAGTAGAGACCAAAGCTGCTAAAGACCATGGAAACCTAAAAAGTGGTTTTTAAGTGGAGGAAGGCCAGTATCATATTTCATCATGTCTGATTGGTGGGAAGTCACATATCTGAAGGATACAGTTATGAGATGTATTCTCTCTGAAAATAATGATCAATTTTGAAGTAAACTTGCTCATTTTGAAGAACATAAAAATTGTCAACTTGACAGGACCCATAAATTTAAGACAAAAATAGAAAATAGACACTCTTTTATTGAATTATGTATCTGGATATATATTCTCTAATTGTTTTGTTCAAGTTGATAATATTTATGTTTATCAAAGTTATTTTAAAACTTGATTTTTATGATTTGTATTTTTTCAGAACAATACATCTTTCAGGTAGTTATAAAAGAAAATATGTATTTATAAAAGTAGATATATATTTAAGCTCTTGTAAAGTATAGTTCTGTATACATATGATTAAACTCATACTACTAGTCCTTACTGTACTTGACATAGCCTTACCAAGTCATTTTGCCTATTGTTGAAATATACAAAATTCCTGCTTTATCCAAGTTTCTTAGAACTAATAATACAAAAAAGTAATTGATGATTCATACTGTGAAACTTTGCATAGTAACCTTGTATATAGATTGAGAGGGCCAAGTAGTTATTATATAAAATAGTGTATGTAAAATTATTTTTAATGACATGTTAGTACCGGTACTGGCTTTGAAGTTGAGCAAAATATTGGTGGAATATGAATTGGGTGCAAGTCAACTGAAAGACTGGACTAACTTTTTCTGTGTATGCTATATATACTGTGCATGTTAATGCAATTTTTTTTGTAAATGAATTTAAGAGCATGCCTCTATCAAACAGGGTGTGGAAAAACACCTCCATAAAGTGATATATAAAGAAAGATTAAAAGTTTCTTGAGGTGCATTGTCTCAAGAAATATCACATGATTTATCAATTGATTGTGTTATGTATAATACCGCGAGACAAAATATGTTCTAATTTGAAAATAAAAGCGATAAATAGCCTTTGATTGATCTCCACAATATATTTTTGTCACAGAAAAACTTATCAACTCTTAAGCTAAATATGGGTTTTAGATTATTTTTCTCTCTGGTCCCTTTTCCCATAAATGTGGAATGCAGAATAATAAAATTGTAAAGCCAATTTTATGTAAAGAAATATGAGAAATAATTGTTGGTGGGGTCTACTAATGATATGAGCTTTTTCTTATGTAAATACAAACTATACAAACAATTGGTTATGTTTTAGTTATTGGATTTATATGGCATTGAAATCTGCATTTAAAGTAAATTATCACTGTATCATTCCCTTTATCATTGTATCGCAAAATATATTCTATGATAATAGTAGTCTTTTGTAGTTCCCTGTTATATGTTTAATGGCTTTTGTAGGCACTCAATCTACAGCGCCACAATCATTGTCTGTTAAACCAACATTTGATAAGCAGTTTGTATGGTAATAAATGTTTTTTCCAAGAAGTGAAATTATTTGGTTTTTTTGTACTTAATTTTTGTACTGTAATATTACTGTAGGCAGTGATGGCATCAGGATGGGAAGAAATTTCACTGACAGTCCAGCATATACTTAGTTGTCAAACAAAAATTAAGGTCTGAGTCATGAGACTAAAAATATTAATTTGCTGATTAAACAAAATTTTTGTGATTGCACTTTTTTTCTCATTCTGGACAGCGCCACCAAGAAGAAAGTTAATTTAGCAAAAAAAAAATTTAAGCAAAAAAAACCAGAAATCGAATATACGCCTGTTAAATTATGTATGGTACACAATAAAATGCGAGTAACTCATAATTAGGGTGTGGAACCCATGCTATGACCGAAGGAACTAGGTGGAACATTGGTTTCATCTCTAGATGCCCGAAAATAGGACTCTCAGACCAGTTGTCTCTGGCTTTTGAATTACAGAATTCTAAATAATTTAACAGCTCCAGGACGGTTGGGCGAGGTGTTCCAGACAATTGGATCCAGGCCCAGCTAGCTCATTCTCTGGCACCACCCTTGCTCTAGGGTCCGAACTCACAACCAAGGACCTTGTGTCATGATCTGATCTGTGGCGCCTGGGGGAGCTGATGGGAGCACAAAGGTCACGTGGAGGGGTCAATGATTACTGTAGGTATGGGGCTCTAAGATGTAAAATAAGGTAATTTTAGGTGATTTTTAACTACTTGAGTGATTTTTTTTTGTGGGGGGGGGGGTGAAACAGGGGCACAGGTATTTTTGGAGGGGCATGTGCACTCCCTAGATGTGCCACTGGATTGGATGCTTTGTGCCAAATTCATTTTCTCCCATTCACTTTGTCCCTTCCAGCATGTCTGAGAAGCTGGCTGATATTCAGTGGCGGTCTATAAATACATGAAATAATGTGATGCTTTTATCAGCGAAGCCTCTTAGGGAGTAAGAGAAAGTTCTGCTGCCACAAGAATTTAACCCAGTACCCTGGGGATTAGAGGGCATATGTTTCAACCACTAAGCTATTCAACTCCACACGTAGCTCAGATGATTAGTTGATAATAGAGATATCCGCAAACTTGAGATGGTTACTAATACGAGGCTTTTTTTATACCTTGTTTCGCAAACTTGTGTTTTTTTTAAAACCATCAGTGGGGGTGGAAAAAAAATAAAGTTTTGTTTTCTTATTTAGCAAATAATTTTGCCAAAAACATCCAGACAGAGGAGAAAATAAAAATATAAAATTTTTAAATGCTTTAAATTTATATAGTTTGAAAGAATTATACACTACTTATCTTTGGAGATTTCAAGGAAGCGGAAGGAGTAATAAAAATGAAGTAAAACTTTTATTTTTTTCCTGAAATTTTCATTTTTTCATGGCGGCGGGTACGCTAATTGGCCAAAATTAAATTTAATTTTTATTTGAAATCACCATTTGCAGGCTGAAGGTTCACTAAAAAAGGAAAAACAGTCTTGCCTAATTGAGAGAGCAGATACAGTACTTGAATAATTTAGTCTTAAGCGGTTGCTAAGCACTGCTAAAATAATACAGTGGTATGATGGAATGCTATGTGATTGATGATATGTAATGTACTACTCCATTCTTAATAAAAGACCAATGGTATTTTTTCCCAAACTTACTTTATTGATGAACTGTGCAAAAATAGTTCTTGATTCTATTTTAATCATTTGTCTCAAATTATTAAGGAAGTTGACATTTAGGCCACAACAGCCTTTTCACTAAAACATTCATTTTTTATCCAGGAATACTTTACACACACAATAAATTTTTCAAAGTCTCAAAAACAGATTTCTGAATTAAAAAAAAATCATTCTTAAAATAAAGTAATAAACGTGTCTACAAAAAGACAATATTTGCAATGATAATCATCTTTATATAAAAACAAAAAATACAAAGAACACTGAAAACAGCTAAGCCACTATGATATTAAAGAAACTCCTGAAAATTATTAAGGAAGTTGACATTTAGGCCACAACAGCCTTTTCACTAAAACATTCATTTTTCATCCAGGAATACTTTACACACACAATAAAATTTTCAGTCTCTCTTAAAATAAAGTTATAAACGTGTCTACAAAAAGACAAACAATATTTGCAATGATAATCATCATTTTATATAAAAAAAAAATAACAAAGAACACTGAAAACAGCTAAGCCACTATGATATTAAACTCCAGTTTTACAGTAAATTCTTCAGCTTTTATTATTTACATACAGGCCCTTACATAACAACAGATTGATGGAAGAGATATCCAAATACACCACAAACACTGTATTGTATTTAGTACAGTACATTAATTAACCAGGTAGGCATAGAGACTTTATTTTCAATTTTCCAATACAGTACTTCAGGATTCATTAGCACCTGTAAAGTAGTTGGCATTCTTTGTTCGTGTTCTGCTCTGCCACTCCGATGACCACAAGCCTTATATGTCAATAAGAATGGTATCATGTATCGCCAGTCATTATACTCACAAATTCTTCAGAATTTACTAGAAAAAAAAAAATAGAAAAACGTACACTTAATTTAAATTTGAATAACATTTTTAGTGAAAATATTGTGGGATGAGTAAAAAGCGACTGAAAAGTGGTGATCTTGCACACTTCACTTATTAGAATTGGGAAAATATATTTTTTTCCAAATTCTGTGAATTATGTAATTAAACGAAGTCAGTGTTTAGCAGAAGTGGATTCAAGAGGAGGGGGAATGGAGAAAAAAAGGAAATTATATTGAAAGTCTGAAAGTGCCATTTCCAGCCATTTAAACGTGTTATAATTATACACTTTTTTTACATATATCCAGTGGCAGACCGTCAAGGCAAGCAAGGTATGCATACCCTGGCTAAAACAAATTCTTAAAAAATATAGTAGTACAATTTCTCCGTTTTATTTAGCATTTTTTAGTTAGAATCTTCTATATAAACCTTAATTTTGCTACAGTTCATTGGAATACCAAAATGTTTGGCCTACGTTGGTATCTAGGATAAGTCACAGTCAGGCCTATCGCATCGTAATCTCAGCTGCTTAGAATTTCCGCATGGCTTGTTTTTAATATCAGCCAATCACGTATTCAGTGAGTCAATGGGAGTCAGAGCATACCCTACAATGCTTAAATTTGCTATTGTGACAACCGTGTGGTGGTGTCAGAATAGCCAATTTAACACTGGAATGGAAACGGTTCTTTCAAGTGTATGTGCGCATGTGAACTAACTTACTTTCACCATCACCATCTTTATCAAATTCATCAATCATTGCACGTAACTCCTCATCTGTCATGTTCTCTCCAAGTTCTCGTGCCACTCTACGCAAGTTCCGTAAACTTATTTTTCCTGAATCATCATCATCAAACAATTTAAAAGCTTTCAGAATTTCCTCTTGAGGATCTCTTTCCAGGGTCCAATCTGTCACTATTTGAAAGAAATGAGATATACATGTACTGTACAATCAAAATTTTACAGAAAGGGCTGCAGGTGCTGCGAGCAGCTCTCTGAGTCGGAGGTGGATATGTGCACCTTATAAGATGACATTATTTTTTATTATTATTTAGATAAATGCTACAGGAAAATGTATTGTTTCAGAGATACAAAGTAAATGGTGGCTCGGTAGCAGTACCACTATGACAAGTTGATCACCATCATTATTAATAACTATCATTGAATCAGCATTATAACAGGCATCACCATTATCAATATCATTGTGATCAACACTACCACTACAGCTATTGCCATTATCACCACCACCTTCACCTCAATCACTAATATCAGCATCATTACTATCACTGGCACCATCAACATCACCACAATCTAGTAAATATGTGCATGTACATACAGTATGTACTAAATTGATTAGCACTATTTTTATTACCGTATTTACCCTTGAAATAATAGGGATTACACTTACTGACTTCATTAAAATCCTTAAATGAAATCTTCCCTGTACTCTCCCTATCATAATCTCTCAGAACTTTTAAAACATCTGCCTTCTTGACTTCAAAGCCGAGTGCCTTCATTGCTACCTGATTTAAAACAAGAGACACATTCTGATTCATGGAGGGTTAAAATTTATATTCCAAGCAATTCCGAAGCCTGAAGATAAATTAGACCCTTTGAAAGGTATGGAAAACTGTTGATTCCTGTTTTTTATTCTCCACTGTTTTATTATAAATTGCAAGGACAAATATTATGGTAATGACTTACTCTTTAAAAAGTGTTTAAATTCTATGTTCACCTGTAACATAGTTTCTAATTCCTATCTTAATGTTACTGTTCATCATAGACTTTGTTCTAACGTGACCAATTTCAGATGTATTTTTTTCATTTGTTAATGTTTGTAGGGTATGAATCAGTGGCGGCTCTAGGATATAATTTATGGGGGGGGGTATGTATGGGTGTACTTTATGGGTGTAACTATAGCGCGCAGCGTTATCTGAGGGCCAAAGGCCGGAGCCTGGGGCGAAGCCTGGGGTGGGTATGGGAGGGGGTGTCCCTTCCTCCCAAAACAAGATTAAAAAAAAAAAAATTGGGACTTCTAGATGGCCGGAAATGTCTGGGATGGGAAAACTAGGCCAATTTTTTTTTTTTTTGGTCCGACTGCCCCGACGAACTTTGGCCGATGGGGGGACTTGACCAGACCGATGGGGGCTTAATCCCCTCACCCCGCTGGCACCGCCACTAGTATGGCAATAATTATGTTTAAAATTAAATACTGTGTATACAATATCTAAATAGATTTTGCCTTGAGTTCATGGTAATCAATTGCTCCATCAAAGTCTGTATCAAACAAATCAAAAGCTTCTTTGATTTCTTGTTTTTGCTCATCAGTAATCTCTCGTCTCTTCCGTCTTCTTCCTTTATCCAAATTAAACTCTGATCTAAAAAGACAAGGATACAATCAGAACTTAATCAATTTATATTATAATCTTAGAAAATTAGGCCTAGGCTAAATCTGTATTTAAAAAAATAAAATCCATCTTAAATTAAAAATAAAAGATGAGTAGCCTAACTGAATACAGATCATTTCGGTCGCGCTTCGTTTCGGTCGCGGTTTGTTTTCAACAAATATATGGAACGCCAATGGAGTTTCGAAACGCTAAATTTAATATAACTATGCCTAATTATCATTGCAAGTTCGTCAATCGGTTTATCATACTTTTTTTATTTATGTTTTGTTGTATTTCTAATAAGTAACAACAGGCTACTTAAAAGCAAATAAAATTAATACTATTATTACTAAACTATGAATTAATATTATCTGACGGTTTTTATTTTCGTTTTGTTATGAATCCTACGCTTTCTACTACATAACAAATACAGCAAATAAAATAAATACTAAAATATGATGTTATATATTATTATCAATATTATTATTATATTATTATTTTTATTTATTTACATTGTATCTGGAAAAACCAGCCAATTTGTCATTTAAATTACTGTAACATTAGTTTATTAACAATTATTTTTATTAGTATTAAAGTTTGTTATTGTTTTTATTTTCGTTTTGTTATGAATCCTACGCTTTCTACTACATAACAAATACAGCAAATGAAATAAATACTAAAATATGATATGATGTTATATATTATTATTATTATTATATTATTTTTTTTTTTATTTACATTGTATCTGGAAAAACCAGCCAATTTGTTATTTAAATTACTGTAACATTAGTTTACTAACAATTATTTTTATTAGTATTAAAGTTTGTTATTGTTACTATATTACTGTATAACTTGGTGCTATTTTTCTTTTTTACAGAAACAACGCAGATGTTACGAAGTTGACTGAGTTTGAGATACGTTTTTTGGTTCTTGCTATATATATTGATATAATTTATGCTTGAATCAAATAAAAATCTATGGAATAAGTATAGTCAATAGATTAGTTTCGTATACGTTTTTTTTTTCTTGTCTGTTACGTTTCCATTTACCATAAATGTTCTGATCATGTTATAATAATATTGTAAAGGAAATATGTATTTCCATATTTATATTTTCCATATAAAATTATCAACGACTAGCTATTAGAATTTTGAGATGTGTATAAGAGACCAGTATGACGTCACCGTCTTTCACAAGTATTCTTACTGTGCTTTTGAAAACATGATGGGTGGGTCAGGCAGGAGCCGTACTTATATATAAATTAAAAGGCAATGAACTGGTCCGAGGCCACAACGAGATCGTCAGACCAAAATTAATAATTTACCTATCAAAATAACATTATTTTAAACTCTCTCCGCAAGCTCTACCTGGGATTTTTAAGCCGGTAACCTGACCGAGGCTCTAGTGGGCCTCTTGCTTCAGGCCCTCTGTAGGACACCTTGTTGACAAATTTCTGGAGCCACCATTGACACGTGTGTATATTTTAGATACATATTATCATCACGTGTGTATATTTTAGACTGTCTCTTATACACATCTTACAACAGTCTGGCTGGCATAGCTGGGCCTAGGCCAGGCCCCTTTCTACACAGAATGTTGCCCTAAATCAGAGTAAAATAATTTAACGTGAATATTCAGAAGAATACTATGTTATTGTGTACATACCTTCAAACACATTCCAATTAAAAAACGGAAAAAATCAATTAAACTCTTCATTTTCTTTCAACATCGAGACACAGAAAATGGCGACACTAAAGTTTTTTTCTCGAATAACGCGGGCTCTCCCATAATGCTTTGTGATAGGATCAATTTAACTCTTTGATAGATGGGTTATTTTAACTCTGCCATTATGCATTGCGATAGGATCAACTTTGCTCTCTGTGGATGGGTTAATTTAACTCTGCTATAATTCATGCGATAGGATCAATTTGACTCTCTGCGGATGGGTTATTTTAACTCTGCTTGTTTTACTCTAAACATGAAGTAAAATTAACTCCAGCAACCTAAATACTGGAGTAAAAATTACTCCAACATTATAACCTTGTATAAGTTTGGAGTGAAATGAGAGTAAACTTAAGGTTTACTCCCCTAAGGAGTTACTTTAATACCATTTAAGGAGTTAAAATAACTCCCAAAAAATAACTCCCCCTTTGGGGGTTATAACTACCCCACATGGGGAGTTACAATGACTCCTCAGAATTAACAGTGTCCAATATGATAAAATCATATATAAATATATATTCATATTTATGAACTGCGAAGAGGTATTAAAGATTTCAAGTGAAGAATGATAATGTGTATTATTTGTTTATTTCTTCGTGTTTCATCCAAACTCTGGAAGCTGCAAAAAAAATAAATATATTTATTGTATAAAAAGATCAGTTTAAATATTGAATGATTATTGTTTTAACTAAATTATGAAATAGATTTCAGATGGTAACAATATTCAATTCAATTAAAATCAAAGATACATTTTACTGACCATTTATTAAAGTATAGTATATGAACTGTCTCTTATACACATCTAGATGTGTATAAGAGACAGATACAAGATCATGTTGCAATCATGAATATATCACCGTAAATGGAAGAAAGAGAATATAGTAGAAAGATATTTTGTTAGTGGAAAGATAGCAAAACAATAATACTTAGGCCTATGATAAACCGATTCACGATAGGGCCTAGGCATATTCAATTTTTCGTTTTTGCAACTCCTTCGGCGCTCCATATATTTGTTCGAAATAAACCGCGACCGAAACGAAGCGCGACCGAAACGAAGTGCGACCGAAATGATCGGCTACCGCCTAACTAGGCCTACTGTACTGTAGGCTAGGCCTAGACATGGTATTCTTTTATAGGAAGGTACTTCTGATACTAGAGTTTGGCCTAAATGAGGATGACTAAACTGGCAAGGGTTGACAAGTGTCTTTTTCTACAGACAAGCCCCTCTATGCCTAGCCTACTATAGTTCAGCAATAGTAGTAGGCTAAGAGCCTAGGCTAGGCCTCAGTTAGTCTCCAGACCTCGTCCTCGGTCGCTTTTTTGGACCAACACAAGCCTGGGCTGGGCCTAGCTAAATATAGGCCTAGTTACGTCAAATTCATACACATTTCAGAACAACTCCATGAATAAATTTACAGAAACTTGAATACCTCAGAGAAAGACTCATTATAAAAATGAAAAAGACCGTTCTTCCTGCGCTCTTTTTACTTTTATTAAAGTTGTCGCCGCTTTGTTTATTTTGAATTACCGTATTGCATAGGACGCCCCCACCTTCATGAATTCCAAATTACGGAGGCATATATATATGGAACGCCGTTACTGCCTTTGGTGGCTCTTTTCCGTTCGGCGCATTGCTATTCGGCCCTTTTAACATTACGTTCGGTGCTTTAACATTACTTTCGGTGCTTTTTACATTACGTTCGGTGCTTTTTACATTACGTTCGGTGCTTTTACATTACGTTCGGTGCTTTTTACATTACGTTCGGTGCTTATTACATTACGTTCGGTGCGTTTTACATTACGTTCGGTGCTTTTACATTACGTTCGGTGCTTTTACATTACGTTCGGTGCTTTTATTAACATTACATTCGGTGCTTTGAAACATTACGTTCGGTGCTTTTATCATTACGTTCGGTGCTTTTGCCACACTTACGGATCTTTTATCATTTGGTGCTTTTTAGTTTTACCTTTCGGCCCTTTCATCATTACGTACGGTTCTTTTATCATTCGGTGCTTTCATGACCTTTGTCTTCGGGTCAAGTGGAAAAAAATCAACGGCTGTGGGAACGAGCCTAGTGGAACTTGCGCGCTCCTTCTCTCTTTCTTCTCTTTCATTTTTTTCTTTTTTTCTTTCAACTTCTTAGTTTCATTACTGATACGCTATATTATATTCATGTTTTGAAACACAGGTGGGCACGCATTCTTCATATAATAT